AGGATTTAGAATTTGCTTAACTGCACCACCCTGGATCAGGTACTTGGGCAGTCAGATAATAAGGAAACCCATTAAAACCAGCCTCAAAGTAATTAATGCACATTTTTAATGTTCATGTCTTCATGTTAGAGTATGTTAGGGTTCATGGACACATAAACTTTCTCCAAACTTCCTCACAGTAGTACTGGAGACCAAGGTAATGCCATCCTGTCATCAACATCTTGTTAGAAACAGTGTTGCTGATAGTTTTTTTTTTTTTTTTTTTAAAGTTATTTAGTTCTTGATTTTATTTAATATTTTGTTTTGAGTTTTTTTGGAGCATAATCATCTCTGGCTTCATAGACGGATCGATAGCTGGATATCGTCTGCATAGCTTACAGTTTTCTAATAGTACTGCCCCTTAGGGAGCATGCATAGAGTACAAAAAAAGAAGACCAACTACAGAACCCTGTGGAACGCCATAATTCTCATTTTTTATTGTAATATGTCAGACAAACTTGACTTAAACCAGCTTGGTGCTGTTCCTTTTATTCCAATATTGACTTACAGTCTCTACAGCAGAATGTTGTGATCAAATGTGCACCAACAGCATAGTACTAATACCTTTTCTCAAGCTAGGTTAGAGTATGGTAGATGTTTTTAACATGCAATTATACTATTGCGGGAATATTTGATTCAATATGACATCAATCACAAATTCCTTGTAATCTCTATTACATCATCATCTTGAAGGCCAAAATGAGCCACCTAAACCAGTCCTTCAGTGTGCCCTCTCTATGTCTGTGCTTTGGTCCTCTTGTCTTTTGCAGGTTATTTCCGCAGCGGCTGCTTCGTCATGACCTTGCAAAATTTGACCTGTAAATACTATGAGCTCCAACAGGATACCGCTCAGGGTTTTCATAGTCATCGCAGATTGTGCAGTAACCAAGAGGACTAAAGCTTTTAGATGGGATTCCCCTCAGTCGCGCTTAAAGCGCACGCGCAGACGCACGCGCAGACGCACGCGCACACACGTACACAACAATGGGCTTGTGGCCCGTGATCCTCTTCATGTGTCTTCTAGCAAAGCTACCGCTGTTGCGATTTCCCAAATCCTCCCTCTGCGCTCATTTAGAAATCCTGTAATAAATCTCTTAATCCCAAACCAGCATTTTCTAGAGGGTTGCACAACAGGGCGTGTCTTATGCAACTGGCCGAGCATTCTGAGTCAATTATAGAACAGTTGGGAGGAAGGGGAGGACGGATGACGAGACTGCTGATGCAAAACACATTTAGATAAGACGGCTAATTTAATACTAACATGTTGTTCTTCATGGACTTGTCTCAACAAAGAAATAGTAAGATTTGTGTCTCAAAAGGACGTCATTTTCCTCTTACAGTAAAATAGATAAGATAGAGTCCGTCTGTCACAGCAGGTTTGATTAGAAAACATTCCTAGCAGCTGTTTTAGTGTTTGTGTTACTATAGAACCTAAAAGATTCTGTCTGCCTATTTTACCTGTCAGACTGTCTTTGAAGTTAAATGTTTTATGCTTTATTTTACTTTTTATCTTTTTTCCCTCCAAAAGAAAAAAAACATGAAAAAAGAAACATAAAACGACTTCTTGTTACCTAAAAGAAATAGTTCTGGTCTGCAAAAGAACTTAAAATTTAACCTTTCTCTAAAAAAAAAA